GTCAATGAAGGGGGCACATGACTCTGCCAAGAGCAGGAAGGCAAACAGAGCACTGGGGGAAAGGGTTGGATACAGGAAGAGGCAAGGAGTCAGGATCATCCGTGTAATCAAACTACTACAGCACCTGCATGACACAGAAAGTGATATCACCATGGATACATGCCTTGGCATGTAGGAAATAGTTTCATATAAGGAAAAGGCTTCCTTTCCTCTAGGTCAGCTCTACACCAGGAGACGTGGCACAGCAGATGGATCAGCAGCCGGGTTTCTGCCCCAAGTTGCTTCCTTGGCACAGTGCCTTGTGCAGTGTACAACCTGCTCAACTATACCTGGCAACCGTGTCCCAGGGACCTTCTGATGCATTTCCTCATTTGAGAAATAATGGTTCAGACTAGTTTCCTGCAGAATTGTCTTTGCCAGATGATACTACTACCCTCAACCCGTGATTTGGCCTCATTTTTGGAACAGGTGGGAGATGCCTTCAGCAGTGAGAAATCCCGCCAAGAGCTTAATACCATTGCATCCAAGCCGCCTCGTGAGCATGTGTTCCGGGTGAATAACTTCGAGGCTCTGAAGACCATTCAGAACCAGCTCCAGGAGAAGATCTTTGCGATCGAGGGTGAGTCAGGCATCTGTGTTCCCAGAGTAGCTCCAGAGGCAGCCCCCGACCCCAGAACACATATTCCCCTCTAGCATCCAGCCCCTCCTAACACTTGGCATCCCCCAGCATCAACTCTCTCCGCTGCCTCCAGCTCCCAGTCCCGGCCTCACTTGGTCAATTTCTTTGAAGTCAAAGAATCCATACTTTTATCTCTAATTTTGCAAATCCTGGCTACAAGTTGGCAAATTGGAGTATGGGGGAGTCAAATCCCACCCAGTATTTTTCCAAAAAATTGGATATGTTGCCAGCAGTTGTCTGTTTGGTTCACTCTTGTATCCTGATCACCTAGAATAGCACCTGGTACTCAGAAGGTGCTTGGTAAATGTTTGTTGAATAAAAGGAATTTAGAAATTTGGGAATTTCATATATAGTCTGGGTTTATGGCTTATCTTGAAAAGTTGGAAGATAAGACACCTTGAAGACCCTGAAGACCATTTCCACTTGGCAGGAAGTGGCTGGAGGCGAAGGCTGCCACAGCTCTAAGAGGGATGTGTGTATCCAGCTTGACACAGATCCCGCTGGGGCCTCCTTTTGTCTGGTCACCAGAGCATTGGGATTTTCAGTACCTGTTCTAGGTTACTCTGCTTTCTTTTCTTTCTTTTTTTTTATTTTTGAGACTGAGTCTTGCTCTATTGTCCAGGCTGGAGTGCAGTGGTGCGATCTTGGCTCACTGCAACCTCTGCCTCCCAGGTTCAACCGAGTCTCCTGCCTCAGCCTTCTGAGTAGCTGGGATTACGGGTTCCTGCCACCACACCCAGCTAATTTTTCTACTTTTAGTAGAGATGGGGTTTCACCATGTTGGTCAGGCCAACTGACCTCAAGTGATCCGCCCATCTCAGCCTCCCAAAGTGCTGGGATTACAGGTGTGAGCCACTGTGCCCAGCCTTCTGTAAAAAGTTCTCCTCTTCACAGGTACTCAGTCAGGAAGTACCAGCTCCTTTGAGCATGAGATGTCTCAGGAAGGGTTCAGTGCTGCCATCACCTCTGTAAGTGGCCCTTCATTAAATTGCGGGGATGGGGTGGGGGTAGCAAGAGAAAAGATAGCGGAGATGCGGGTGACTGGGGGCTCTTCTCTGTGACTTGGGAAGTAGCTCTGTGAGGGGCAGCCCTGGTCCCTTTATCTTTTCTCATCAACCCTGTTCTGCCCTTTCCCAGAACGGCCCCTTGCTGAGCACTGTGGGGAGCTATGACTGGGCTGGTGGAGCCTTTCTGTATACATCAAAGGAGAAAAGCACCTTCATCAACATGACCAGAGTGGATTCAGACATGAATGATGCTTACTTGGGTAAGTGGGAGGGCAACAGTTACTCTAAGAGGGTGTCAGGATGTGGCATATGACAACTAGCGTGGATGTCTCGGTCTTTCATAGGCTCTTGGGATAGCTTTAAAGCCAGAAACTTCCTTTTTTTTTTTTGAGGTGGAGTTTTGCTTTTTTCGCCCAGGCTGTAGTGCAATGGTGTGATCTTGGCTCATGCAACCTCTGCCTCCTGGGTTCAAGTGATTCTCCTGCCTCAGCCTCCCAAGTAGCTGGTTTACAAGCGTGCGCCACCACCCCTGGCTAATTTTTCTGGTATTTTTAGTAGAGGCGGGGTTTCACCACAATGGTCAGGCTGGTCTCGAACTCCTGACGTCAAATGATCCACCTGCCTTGGCCTCCCAAAGAGCTGGGGTTACAGGTGTGAGCCACTGCGCCTGGCCAGAAACTTCCAAATTGAATTGTAATAATTTTCATAAAGAGGAATATAGCTCAGGGATCAGTTACCCCAACACAGCAAGCGTGGGGCTGCCCCAGTGCTCCTACTCAAGGGGTGGGTCTGCATGGCAGAGGAGGGGGCAGGGAACACACTTCACCTCTCAGACCCCCACCTTCAGGTTATGCTGCCGCTGTCATCTTGCGGAACCGGGTTCAAACCCTGGTTCTGGGGGCGCCTCGGTATCAGCATGTCGGCCTGGTGGCGATGTTCAGGCAGAACGCTGGCATGTGGGAGTCCAATGCTAATGTCAAGGGCACCCAGGTGAGTACGGTGTGTGGAGCATGAATGTGCAAACAGAGGTGCCCTGGGGGCTTAGAGATTGTGGGAGGGGTATTCAGATGACCTGCATGGCCGTCCTGTAAAGGAGCCTCGGGGGGCTGTGAGCTGGGGAGTTGTGGGATCAGCGTAGCATTTGAGAATGCCAGGTCCCCAGCTTTTTGACAATGATAAATAACAATGCTTGCCTGCACAGAGCTCTTTATGGGTCTTCCTGTACTCAGAGCTGGTATTCAGCCCATCAATAACCAGGTTAGCCATGTTAATAAAATATTGAAATAATTCCGTATTCATTGATAAATGGTAGAGTCCCCCTCACCCTTGCACGCTGGTGCTGCTCCAGTCTCTTTGGGTTTCCCCATGATCCAGCAACTATGAGGTCAGGCAGGACACCTCAACGGGCCCTGTAGGACCTGCTCCAGCCACGCCCCTGCTCAGCACCTGTACAGCCCCAGCTGTTCATTATTTTGAATATCACCCCTGCAAAAGCAGCACGGTCACATATTATGTGGAAACTGGTGAGTGAGGCAAAAATTTCTAGTCCAAATCATTATTGCAAATTCCTGAAACAGGGCTGCACCCATGATATGGTGCCTATAGTTCTTTTTTTTTTTTTTTTTGAGACAGAGTCTCGCTCTGATGTCAGGTGCCAGGCTGGAGTGCAGTGGCGTGATCTCGGCTCACTGCAACCTCCGCCTCCTGGGTTCAAGCAGTTCTCCTGCCTCAGCCTCCTGAGTAGCTGGGACTACAGGCATGCACCACCATGCCCAGATAATTTTTGTTTTAGTAGAGATGGAGTTTCATCATGTTGGCCAGGATGGTCTCGATCTCTTGACCTTGTGATCCGCCTGCCTCGGCTTCCCAAAATGCTGGGATTACAGGCATGATCCACCTCATCTGGTTTATAGTTCTTTTTAAAAAAAAAAAAATAATAATTTCAGGTGGGACATGGTGGCCCACGCCTGTAATCCTAGCATTTTGGAAGGCTGAGGCAGGTGGATCACCTGAGGTCAGGAGTTTGAGACCAGCCTGGCCAATATGGCGCAACCCCATCTCTACTAAAAATAAAAAATGAAAAGAAAAATTAGCCAGGCATGGTGGCTCGTGCCTGTAATCACAGCTACTCGGGAGGCTGAGGCACAAGAATTGCTTGAACACAGGCGGCAGAGGTTTCCATAAGCTGAAATCGTGCCACTGCACTCCAGCCTGGGTGACAGAGCGAGACTTCATTTCAATTAAAAAAATAGTCATTTCAACTTTTAGATTCAGGGGGTACATTGTACAGGCTTGATACATGTATACATTGTGTCTTGCCGAGGTTTGGGCTGCAGCTCCCATCACCCAGGTAGTGAGCATAGTACCCGATAGGTGGTTTTTCTTTTTTCTTTTCTTTTCTTTTTTTAGAGACAGGATCTCACTCTGTTGCCCAGGTTGGTTTTGAACTCCTGAGCTCAAGCAATCCTCCTGCCTTGGCCTCCCAAAATGCTGGGATTTCAGGCGTGAGCCACTGTGCCCAGCCCAATAGGTGGTTTTTCAACCCACACCTCCTGCTCCCCCATCTGGTAGTCTGCAGTGCCTGTCATTCTCATCTTTATGTCTATGTGTACCCAATGTTTAGCCCCCACTTATAAGTGAGAGCATGCAGTATTTGGTTTTCAGCTCCTGGGTCAATTCACTTAGGATTATGGCCCCCAGCTGCATCCATGTTGCTGCAAAGGATGTGATTCACTCTTTTATATGGCTGCATAGTATTCCGTGGTGTATGTGTACCACATTTTCTTATCCAATCCACCACTGATGGGCACCTGGGTTGATTCTATGTCTTTCTAGTGTGAACGGTGCCATGGTGAACATATGAGCATGTGTCTTTTTGGTAGAACAGCTTCTTTTCCTTTGGCTATAAGCCCAGTAATGAAATTGCTTGGTTGAATACTAGCTCTGTTTTATGTTCTTTGAGAAATCTTCAAACTGCTTTCCTCAGTGGCTGGACTAATTTACATTCCCACCGACCGACAGTGTATAAATATTCCTTTTTCTGTATAGCCTCGCCAGCATCTGTTATTGTCTTCTTTTTCTTTTTTTTAAGATGGAGTTTCACTCTTATTGCCCAGGCTGGAGTGCAGTGGCGCAATCTCAGTTCACTGCAACCTCTGCCCCCCGCCCCCCGCCTCCCGCACCAGGTTCAAGCCATTCTCCTGCCTCAGCCTCCTGAGTAGCTGGGATTACAGGCATGTGCCACCATGCCTGGCTAATTTCGTATTTTTTTTTAGTAGAGATGGGGGTTTCTCCTTGTTGGTCATGCTGGTCTCGAACTCCTGACCTCAGGTGATCTGCCTGCCTTGGCCTCCCAAAGTGCTGGGATTACAGGCGTGAGCCGCCGTTCCTGTCCTTGTTATTGTCTTCTTAAAAATAGCATTCTGACTGGTGTGAGATGGTATCTCACAGTGGCTTTGAGTTGGATTTCTCTGGTGATTTGTGATAATGAACATTTTTTTTCCAATTTTTTTCTGGCCATTTGTATGTCTTCTTTTGAGAAGTGTCTGTTTATGTCCTTTGCCCACTTTTTAATGGGGTTATTTGTTTTTTGCTTGTTGATTTGTTGAAGTTCCTTGAGGATTCTGGATTTCAGACCTTTGCCAGACGTGGCTTGCAATAGTTTCTCCCATTCTGTAAGTTTGCTGTTTACTCTGTTGATGGTTTCTTTTGCTCTACAGAAACACTTGTCGATTTTTGTGTTTGTTGCAGTTGCTTTTTGAGGACTTAGCCAAAAGTTCTTTGCCAAGGCTGGGGTCAAGAAGAGTATTTCCGAGGTTTTCTTCTACGATTTTAGTAGTTTGAGGTCTCACATTTAAATCTTTAATCCGTGTGATTTAAATCTTTAATCACGTTTAAATCTTTAATACATCTTGAGTGGATTTTTGTATAAGGTGTAAGGAAGAGGTCCAGTTTCATTCTTCTGCATGTGGGTAGCCAGCTACCTCGGCACTATTTATTGAATAGGGACTTCCCTCCCCATTGCTTGCTTCATAGGCTTTATTGGCGATCAGATGGTTGTAGGTGCGTGGCTTTATTTCTGGGCTCTCTGTTCTGTTCTGGTGGTCTATGTGTCTGTCTTTGTTCCAGTACCATGCCGTTTTGATTACTATATCCTTATATTCGGGTGGGGTAATGCCTCCAGCTTTGTTCTTTTTTGCTTAGGATTGTTTTGCATATTCAGGGTCTTCTTTTGTTCCATATGAATTTTAGGATAGTTTTTTCTAATTGTGTGAACAATGGCATTGGTGGTTTGATACAAAGAGCATTGAATCTGTAAATTGCTTTGGGCCTTACGGCCATTTTAACAATATTGATTCTTTCAATCCATGAGCATGGAATATTTTTGCATTTATTTGTGTCATCTCTGATTTTCTTTCAACAGTGTTTTGTGTCTCTCTTTGTAGAGACCTTTTACCTCCTTGGTTAGCAGTGTTCCCAGGTACTTCGTTTTTTGTGTCTGCCTGTAGTTCTGTGTGTTTTTAAAATTTTTGTCACTGGTTCTCTTTGACCTGTAATTAATGCATTGTATGGAGATGAAACCAGTTTGTCCTGATACCTGAACAGCTTGTCATAATTCTTTGCCCATAGTCAAATTCTTCCCATGGTCTCTCTAAATGTTTTACAAATACCCATTGGCCATTGAATGGCGTCAGTGCCTGATACATATAAGGGATGGCGTGGGGAAGAAAGTGTTGAGGAATTACGGGAAGTTAAGTGTAGATGGGATGCCACTTCGCTCTTTTGGGTGTGTGGTCAGGACCACATGAGGAAGACTGGTTGGTCAACCCCCCACCCCACACGGCGTACACGCACATGACCATCAGAGGGGTGATAGATGCTTAAACTGGGAGCTTCTGGCAGTTATGAGAGCAAATGGGAGGGGCAGCCACAGAAAGGCAGTAGGGAAGGCTCCCTGGAGGAAGTGGCAGCTAAGCCAAGACCTGTGGTGGAAACACAAGAGAAGTGAAAGAAGTAGGGGGAAGAAAGGGGCCAGAAGAGGGAGAGAGTATGGAATGGAGGTCAGAATGTGGGTGTATGGGGGTGGGAGGAGTGGTGGGAGAAAATGGGAGAGAAGGGCAGGTGTGGTTTATCCTAGGGACGCAGGGCCTGTTCAACATCCCAAAGATCAATATTGCGGAAATGGACAAGCTAATTCTGAAGTTCATATGGAAACAGAAGGGACCTATATCTTGGATTTATACCTAAGTATTTCATGGCCTTTGGCACTATTGTAAATTGCACTGTTTTTTAAATTTATATTTCCATTCGTTCAATGATACAGAAATGTAACTGATTTTTACGTATTGATCCTGTATCTAAAACAATCTTGGAAAAGGGGAACAAAGTTGGAGGGTTCACACTTCCCAATTCAAACTTTACAAATCCATAGAGCCAGAAAGTAAATTAGTGGTTTCCAGGAGCTGGGGGTTGGGCTGGGGATTGGAAGTGACTGCTAACAGATACAGAATTTCTTTCTGGGAAGATGAAAATGTTCTGGGGGTAGTGGTGGTGATTATACAACATTGTGAGTATACTAAAACCCACTGAACCTTATACTTTAAAATGGTAAATTTTATGGTATGTAAATTTAATCCAAATTATAAAAGCTACTTTAAAAAAAATCAGTGTGATTCACCATAACAGCAGATTAAAGAGGAAAAAGTCAGGAGTTGTAAATTTCGTCTCTCACAAAATAGGCTCTAATAGTAACAAAGACTAAAAGAATCAAAGAAGAACATTACATAATGGTAAAAAGATCAATGCAACAACAGGAGTCAATGATCATAAATATATATGCACCCAATATAGGAGCACCCAGATACATAAGACAAGTTCTTAATGCCTTATAAAGAGACTTGGACTCCCGCACAATAATAGCGGGAGACTTTGAAAACACATTGTTAATATTTGACGGATCAACGAGATAGAAAATTAACAGGGACATCTATGATTTGAACTCAGACCTGGAACACATAAACTCAGTGAATATTTATAGAATTCTTCGCCCCAGGTCCACAGAACATACATTTCTCTCAGTATCATATTACACCTATTTTGAAAGTGACCACATAATTGGAAGTAAATCACTCTTCAGCATTTGCATAGCATTTCACAGACTTAAATGAAATATTGGTTGGCTGTTTGTTTGTATTTTCTTCCCTTATTCCTTCCTGTCTCTGCTGTTAAGCACAATTATCAGCATAAAAGAGGTTTTTAACACCTATTTTTAGATTGCATTCCAGCCTGGGCAATAGAGCAAGACTCCTGTTCTCTCTCCCCATTTCTCTTTCTCTTTCTTTCAAAAAAAAAAAAAAAAAAAAAGGAAAAGGTATGTAACTACCTTAACAGATATAGCACTATAATTTGACAACATACAGCATCCTTTTATGATTAAAAATACTCTCAGCAAACTAGGAGCTAAAGGGAACTTCCTCAACCTGAAAAGAGCATTTACAAACAATCTCTAGCAGGCATTTTACTTAACAGTGAAAGAGAATGCTTTTCTCCTAAAATTGGAAACAAGGCAGGAATATCTACTTTTATAATTCCTATTGGACATTGTACTGGAAGACCTAGCCAATGCAATAAAGTAAGAAAAAGAAGAAAAAAAAGTACAGAGAGGAAGGGAAGAAATAAAACCATCTCTATTTGCAGACGATATGATTGCATGGAAAATTCCAAAGAATCTGTAAAAAAGCTATGATAATGGGTTTTTTTTTCAGTGAGCTCTCAGGATACAAGATCAATGTATAAAAATCAGTTATATTTTTATAATATAATTGAACAATTAGAAATTTAAATTAAAAAGTACCATTTACAATAGCATCAAATACCTTGAAATATTTAGGTATAAATCAAACAAAATGTGTATGATAGCTTTATGCTGAAAACTACAAAACACTAATGAAAGAAATAAAAGACCTAAATAAATGGAGAGATACACTGTGGTCATGGACTTGAATATTGGAATTCCAATATTGTTAAAGTGTCAATTCTCCCTGAGTTGATCTACAGATTCAGTGCAGTGAAAATTGTGGATAATATTCCATTGTGCACATGTACTACATTTTCTTTTTTTTTTTTGAGACGGAGTTTCGCTCTTGTTACCCAGGCTGGAGTGCAATGGCACGATCTCGGCTCACCGCAACCTCCGCCTCCTGGGTTCAGGCAATTCTCCTGCCTCAGCCTCCTGAGTAGCTGGGATTACAGGCACGCACCACCATGCCCAGCTAATTTTTTGTATTTTTGGTAGAGACGGGGTTTCACCATGTTGACCAGGATGGTCTCGATCTCTTGACCTCGTGATCCACCCGCCTCGGCCTCCCAAAGTGCTGGGATTACAGGCTTGAGCCACCGCGCCCGGCCTGTACTACATTTTCTTTATCCGTTCATCTGTTGATGGACACTTAGGTTGATTCTCTATCTCAGCTATTGTGAATAGTGCTGTGATAAACATGGGAGTGCAGTTATCTCTTCAATATACTGATTTCCTTTCCTTTGGAGATATACCCAGCAGTGGAGTCACTGGATTGTATGGTAGTTCCATTTTTAGTTTTTCTAAGGAGCCTCCATACTGTTCTCCATAGTGGCTTTACTAATTTACATTCCCACCAATAGTGCATGGAAGTTCCTCTTTCTCTGCATCCTTGCCAGCCTCCATCATTATTTGTATTTTCAATAAAACCCTTTTAACTGCAATGAGATGATATCTCGTTGTAGTTTCTATTTGCATTTTTCTGATATACAAAGGAATACTATTCAGCCATAAGAAGAATGAAATCTTGTGATTTGCAATAACAGGATTGAAACTGGAGAACATTATGTTAAGTAAAACAACCTGGGCACAGAAAAACAAATATTGCATGTTCTCACTCATATGAGAAAAAATGGATCTCATGGAAGTAGAGAGTAGAATGATGGATACCAGAGACTGGGAAGGGTAGTGAGAAGGATGGGGTAGAAAGGAGATGGTTAATGGATACAAAAATACAGTTAGTTAGGAAAAATAAGACCTAGTGTTTGGTGGCAGAGTAGGGTGACTATAGTTAACAATAATTTATTGTATATTTCAAAATGACTATATGAATGGAATTGGAATGTTCCCAAGAAAAGAAATGATAAATGCTTGAGGTGATGGATATCCCAGTTATCCTGATTTGATTATTACACATTGTATGCTTGTATCAAAATATCACGTTTCCCATAAATGTGTGCAACCATTATGTATTCATAAAAAATTAAAAATCCTGGAAGTATATTTTGCTGAATGTAGAATTTAGTCAATTCTAAAATTTGTATAAAAATAAAAATGTAGACTATCCAAAAGAATTTTGAAAAGAATCTAGATAAATACCATTAAGTAGGTGTCACTTCTTATTTATTATTTATTTTTAAAAAATTAGATCAACATTTTATTATTATTTTTTAACTTTTACTTTAGGTTTGAGGGTACATGTGAAAGTTTCTTATACAGATAAACTCATGTCATGGGGGTTTGTTGTACAGATTATTTTATCACTCAGGTATTAAGCCTAGTACCCTATTTTCTGCTCCTCCCTCCTCCCACTCTCCACCCTCAAGTAGACCCCAGTGTCTGTTTCCTTCTTTGTGTTCATAAGTTCTTTTTTTTAAAATATGTATTTTATTGCATTTTAGGTTTTGGGGTACATGTGAAGAACATGCAAGATTGTTGCATAGGTACATACATGGCAGTGTGGTTTGCTTCCTTCCTCCCCATCACCTACATCTGGCATTTCTCCCCATGTTATCCCTCCCCAACTCCCCATCTCCCATAAGTTCTTATTTTTTAGCTCCCACTAATGAGTGAGAACATGCAGTATTTGATTTTCTGTTCCTGTGTTAGTTTGCTAAGGATAATGGCCTCCAGCTCTATCCATGTTCCCACAAAAGACACTATCTTGCTCTTTTTTGTGGCTGCATAGTATTCCACAGTATATATGTACCACATTTTCTTTATCTTATTTGTCTTTGGTGGGCATTTAGGTTGATTCCATGTTTTGCTATTGTGACTAGTGCTGCAATGAATATTCATGTGCATGTGTCTTAATGGTAGGATGATTTATATTCATCTGGGTATATACCCAGTAATGGGATTGCTGGGTTGAATGGTAGTTTTGCTTTTAGCTTTTTGAGGAATCACTATACCACTTTCCCCAATGGTTGAACTAATTTACCACTCCCACCAACAGTATAAGTGTTCCCTTTTCTCCACACCTCAGCAGCATCTATTTTTGACTTTTATTGGTAGCCATTCTAACTGGTATGAGATGATATCTCATTGTGGTATTGATTTGCATTTCTCTAATGATAATGACATTGAGCCTTTTTTCATACGCTTCTTGGCTGCATGTATATCTTCTTTTGAAAAGTGTCTGTTCATGTCCTTTGCCCACCTTTTAATGCAGTTGTTTGTTTTTCTCTTGTAAATTTAAGTTCCCTGTAGAAACTGGATATTAGACCTTTGTTGGATACACAGTTTGCATCGAGACCATGGTTAGATCAAGACCACCCTGGTTAACATGGTGAAACTCCGTCTCTACTAAAAATACAAAAAATTAGCAGGGTGTGGTGGCATGTGCCTATAGTCGCAGGTATTTGGGAGGCTGAGGCAGGAGAATCGCTTGAACCTGGGAGGTGGATGTTGCAGTGAGCTGAGATCGTGCCACTGCACTCCAGCCTGTGTGACAGAGCAACACTCCATCTCAAAAAAAGAAAAGGGCAACTCTGACTGTGTGTGGTGGCTCACACCTGCAATCCCAGCACTTCAGAGGCTGAGGTGGGGGGATTGCTTGAACCCAGGAGTTTGAGACCAGCCTGGGCAACATAGTGAGACTCCACCTCTATTAAAAAAAAAAAACCCTATCAGTTTTATTGATCTTTTCTATTATTTTTCTAGCCTGTATTTGATTTATTTCTGCTCTGATCTTTATCATTTTATTTCTTATGCTGACTTTGAGCTTAGTTTGTTTTTCTATTTCCTTGATGTGTAAAGTTAGGTTGCTTCCTTCCTCCCTTCCCTTCTCCTCCCTCCCTCCCTCCATCCCTCCCTCCCTCCTTCCCTCCCTTCCTTCCTTCCTTCCAAAATTAAAGTAAAATTGTTTTTTTAATTTTTATTACAAATTGACTGCAACATCACATAGAAATCAGAAATCTTTATTATAAGAATAAAACAAAAAATCGCCATACCACCAGAAATGATCAATCAATACTTAGGTGATTTTTAATGTAGGTGTTTAACTCTTTAAACTTCTCTCTTAGATCTGCTTTTTCTGCATTCAGTAAGTTTTGGTATGTTGTATTTTCAGCATCATTTTTCTTAAGATATTTTTGATTTCTCTTTTGATTTCTTCTTTCACCCACTGGATGGTGAGGAATGTGTTGTTTAATTTTCACCTATTTTTGGCTTTTTAAATTTTCCTCTTGTTATTGATTTCTAGTGTCATAACCTTTGTGGTCAGAAAAAATACTTGATATAATTTATTTATTTATTTATTTATTGAGTTGGAGTCTTGCTCTGTTGCCCAGGCTGGAGTGCAGTGGCACAATCTTGGCTCACTGCAACTTCCACCTCCTGGGTTCTAGCAATTCTCCTGCCTCAGCCTCCCGAATAGCTGGGATTACGGGTGCCTGCCACCATGCCAGGCTAATTTTTGTATTTTTAATAGACAGAAGTTTCACCATATTGGTAAGGCTGGTCTTGAATATCTGACTTCAGATTATCCACCTGCCTTGGCCTCCCAAAGTGCTGGGATTATAGGCGTGAGCCACTGTGCTTGGTCAATACTTGTTATGATTAAAATCTTGAATTTCTTAAGACTTGTTTTGTGGCCTAACGTATGATCTCTACTTAGCAAATGTTCCACATGTGCTTGAAAAGACTGTGTATTCTGCTGGTATTGAAGGGAATGTTCTGTATATGTCTGTTTAGATTCATCTGGTCTATAGTATTGTCCAAGTCTGCTGTTTCCTTATTGATTTTCTGTCTGGATGATCTAACTATTGTTGAAAGTGGGATACTGAAGTTCCCTGCTATTATTAGAATATAATAATGATAATACTATTATTGTATTGCTGCCTACTTCTCTCTTCAGTTCTGCTAATATTTGCTTTATATATTTACGTGATCTGATGTCGGATGCATATATGTTCACAATTGTTACATTCTCTTGATTAATTGACTTATTTAACATTATATGGTGACTTTCTTTGTCTCTTGTGGCAGTTTTAACATAAGGTCTATTTCGTCTGATATAACCATAGTCCATCCTGATCTCCTGTGGTTATCATTTGCATGGAATGTCTTTTTCCATCCCTCCACTTTAGCCTATGTGTGATCTTAAATCTAAATTGAGTTTCTTATAGGCAGCATATAGTTGGATTTAAAAAAAATCCATTCAGCCTCTCTATGTCCTTTGACTGGAGAATCTAATCCATTTACATATAAAGTAATGATTGGCAGGTAGGGACTATTATCGCTATTTCATTTATTGTTTTCTGACTGTTTTGTAGTTCCTTTGTTCCATTCTTTCTTCCTCTCTTGCTGTATTCCTTTAGGATTCGATTTTTTTTTGGTAGTGATATGTTGTGATTCCTTTTTCTATGTTTGGTGTATCTACCACAGTTTTTTTTTTCTTTGTGGATACCATGGGGCTTACATAAAACATCTTATAGTTATAACAGTCTATGCAAAGCTGATAACAGCTTTGACCACATACAAAAACTCGACCTTTTAACTTCTGTCCACACATTTTACATTAATGTCACACTTTACCAATTAATTTGCAATAAAGGTGGAAAGACAGTTAAGAGTTTTTCACCAAATGGTTCTGGAAAAATTGGACATCCATAGTTAAAAAAAATAACCTCCATCCATACCTCACACCATATAAAAATAAATTCAAAATAAGCAATTTTTAATAAAGTATAACATACAAGTTACCATACCAGCAATTCCACTCCCAAGTCTTTACTTAAGAGAAATGAAAACAGATGTTCACATGAAAACCTGTATGCAAATGTTTCTGGTCTCTCTGTTAATAATCACCCCAAGTTAGAAAAAACCCAAATGTCTTTCAACTAAGGAATGGATAAACCAACTGTAGCACACTCATACAATGGGAATACTGGTCAGCAATAAAAGAGAGCAAATTACTAATACCTGCAACAACACAGATGAATCTTCAATGCATTATTGTAGGTGAAAGAAGCCAAATTAAAAAGGTCACATACAATATACTTCCATTTACATAACATTCCAGAAAAACCAAAATCCTAAGGGCAGAAAACAGTTGAGTGGTTGCCAGATGTTGGTAGTTGGAGGGGAGAAATTGACTATGATGCGGCATAGGGAATATTTTGGGGATAATGCAACTATTTCTATTTTGACTGTGGTGTTGGTTATATGACTTTATTTATTTATTTATTTAGAGTCTCACTCTGTCACCCAGGCTGGCGTGCAGTGGCATGATCTCAGCTCACTGCAACCTCCACCTCCTGGGTTCAAGCGATTCTCCTGCCTTAGCCTCCCAAGTAGCTGGGACTACAGGTGCTGGCCACCACACTCAGCTAATTTTTGTATTTTTAGTAGAGGTAGGGTTTTGCCATGTTGTCTAGGCTGGTCTCGAACTCCTGAGCTCAGGTGATCCACCTGCCCTGGCCTCTCAAAGTTCTGGGATTACAGGCATGAGCCACTGCACACAGCTGGTTATATGACTTTATATGTTCGTCAAAACTTATAAAATTGTGTACTAAAAGGCTGAATTTTGTTGTATGTAAACTCTACGCCAATAAATCTGATCTAAAAGAAATCAAAATTCTGTTGACTTTAGGATAAAACTTATATGCCTGTATTTAGTTATTAATGAGTCTTCCCTCAATGGTGTATGAGGCAGAGATCATGTTGCAGTGAGTCGGGGCATGATGTCCCCTGCACATTCCCGTCCTAGAATTTGTCCCAGTTTGAAATTGCTATACATATCTCCCTGTTAATCCATCAATTACTCTCCTCCTCTCCACCCTGCTGCACTGAGAGCCCTGGAAGCTGCTGTCTCGACTACCGGGCCTTGTACTTTGCAATAAGAAACACTTGTTTGTCGAATGAATGAATAAATGAATGAATGGATGAATAGGTGAATTTTATGGATGAATTCTACATATTGACCTTGAAGATATTCAAAACTTTTTTTTACTTGGTGGTAAACAGTATTTCTTGATCTTACAAAACATATTCCTGGGCAGAAATAGTTATTTTTAATCTAAGCCAGTTATTAGCCTTATTACTCAGAGTGCCAACTTTGACTTTTTACCCCCCTGAAGATTCTCAAGATATTGAAAGGGTAGTCTGTCTGCTTTTCTAGAATTTTCTATCTGTATTTTCCAACCGAAGTCTTTCTTTGCTGCCTTACTAATCTCCTAGGAATACAGTTTGGGGCATATCCTCACTTTCTGTCCGTTGACTCTATTATACGCTTCTTCATGTTTTATCTTTTAAATTATTAAAAAATATATACACTTCGATATTGGGGTCTGTTGCCCAAGCTGGAGTGCAGTGGTGACAAAGCTCACTGCAGCCTTAAACTGCTGGGCTCAGGGGATCCTCCCACGTCAGCCTCCCAAGTAGCTGGGATTACAGGCAGGAGCCACTCTGCCAGTCTTATTGTGTAGGTTCTTTTAGCTGGCAGCACATGCCAATGGTAATTTATCATGAATCACATAGAAGATCACATCTGCTCCAGAGGGATTCCCCCAGCAGGCATAACTTTTCTTCACAGAGCGAAAACCCCCATGTCTACTTTAGGTGGGAAGAGGTGTGTGATGATGGCCCTGTCTCTTTCAGATTGGCGCCTACTTCGGGGGTTCCCTCTGCTCTGTGGATGTGGATAGCAACGGCAGCACTGACCTGGTCCTTGTCGGGGCCCCCCATTACTACGAGCAGACCCGAGGGGGCCAAGTGTCCGTGTGCCCGTTGCCCAAGGGGGTGAGTGGCCGATGAGACCTGGGCTGGGTGGGGCCCGGGGTGGGTGGAGGGGTGGAGGTGTCATCTGGGTTGGGGCCTGACACTGTTTGTGTTTAGCAGAGGGCTCGTTGGCAGTGTGACGCTGTTCTCCACGGGGAGCAGGGCCACCCCTGGGGCCGCTTTGGGGCAGCCCTGACAGTGCTGGGGGATGTGAATGGGGACAAGCTGACGGACGTGGCCATTGGGGCCCCAGGAGAGGAGGACAACCGGGGTGCTGTTTACCTGTTTCATGGAACCTCAGGATTTGGCATCAGCCCCTCGCATAGCCAGGTGAGACCTGTTTACTGTCCTTGTCATGACAGTAGCCTCTTTGTTGATCTTTCTCCTTCTAATTCAGTGTGCCCACAGCTGGCAGATCAGTTCTCATAGTACTCCTTTCAGAACCTTCAAAAATAATAAAACATGTGGCTGGGCCTGGTGGCTCATGCCTGTAATCCCAGCACTTTGGAAGGCCAAGGTGGGACGATTGTTTAAGCCTAGGAGTTCAAAACCACTTCGGGCAACATAGTGAGAACCCACCTCTCAAAAAAAAAAAAAAGAAAAAAAAAAAAGCCAGATATGGTGGCACACACCCGTGGTCCCAGTTACTCAGGAGGCTGAGGCTGGAAGATTGCTTGAGGCTGGGAGGTGGAGGCTGCAGTGAGCCCTGGTCACACACTGTACTCCAGCAGCCAGAGTGACAGTCAGAACTGCACACGTGCATGGGAGCACACGTGTGCGCGCACGGGCACGCGCACACACACACACACTTACACACACACACACACACACACACACACTTCACAGAAATCTCAAAGGCTCTTAATTCTAGCTTGATTATTTCTACAGCAATAGGAGGTGCATGCGGCTGGCCACCTTATGGGATTGCACACTTCCCGGATGAGTGATTGTGCCGCTCTCAGACGGGCCCTGTGCTTGGCTTAATGCTCTGCTATTACCAGCTAAATTTTGTATTTTTTTGTAGAGACGGGGTTTCAACATGTTGTCCAAGCTGGTCTCCAATCCTGGGCTCAAGTGATCTGCCTGCCTCAGCCTCCCAAAGTGCTGGGATTACAGGCGCGAGAATCACGCAGTTTTTTCCCTTCTGTGACTGGCTTATTTTACTTAGAATAATGTCCTCCAGGTTCATCTATGTTGTCACAAATGAAAGAATCTTCTTCTTCTTCCTCCTCCTCTTCCTCCTCTTCTTCCTTCTTCCTTCTTTCTTCTTTCTTCTTCTCAAAGTCTTGTTCTGTCTCCCAGGCTGGAGTGCAGTGGTGCACACATGGCTCCCTGAAGCCTCAATTTACTGGGCTCAAGCGACCCTCCCACCTCAGTCTCCTGAGTAGCTGGGACTGCGGGCCCTGCCATCATGGCTGGCTAATTTCTTTTTATTTTTTGTAGAGATGGAGTATCCCTATGTTGCCCAGGCTGATGTCTTTCTTTTTAAGGCTGAATAATATCCCGCTGTATGTATATACCACATTTTAAAAAATCCGTCATTTCCTGGTAGAGAGGGAAGGAAAACAACCCATCATCTCTTGATAGGCATTTAGGCTGTTTTCACATCCTGGCTATTGTGAATATGGGCATTTGTGAATACGAACATGGGCATGTTTGTATCTCTTTGAGATCGTACTCCCAATTTCTTTGGATAAATAACCAGAAGTGGGATAAATCATATGGTAGTTCTATTTTTTTTTTTTTTTTTTGAGATGGAATTTCACTCTTGTTGCTCAGGCTAGAGTGCAATGGCGCGATCTTGGCTCACTGCAACCTCTGCCTCCTGGGCTCAAGCGATTCTCCTGCCTCAGCCTCCCGAGTAGCTGGGATTACGGCATGCGCCTTCATGCCCAGATAATTTTTTTTTTAATTCAGTCTCCATAGAGACTGTCAAAAAGTGCCAATGCTAAGTATATTTCAAGTTGTAATGGCAGGGTATTAGGAAAAGTTTTAAATTAGCAATAATCGCTCCTTGGATAAACCTCATTGGCTACAATACTAACACTGTGCCAAGCTGCAGGCTAATTTTTTGTATTTTTTAGTAAAGATGGGGTTTGTCATATATCTATATGACAAAGCTGTACTTAAAATAGTATGATACTAGCATAAAGATAGACATCTTGGCCGGGCGCGGTGGCTCAAGCCTGTAATCCCAGCACTTTGGGAGGCCGAGGCGGGTGGATCACGAGGTCAAGAGATCGAGACCATCCTGGTCAACATGGTGAAACCCTGTCTCTACTAAAAATACAAAAAAAAATTAGCTGGGCATGGTGGCGCGTGCCTGTAATCCCAGCTACTCAGGAGGCTGAGGCAGGAGAATTGCCTGAACCCAGGAGGCAGAGGTTGCGGTGAGCCGAGATCGCGCCATTGCACTCCAGCCTGGATAAAAAGAAACACTTTATGTCTCAAAATAAAAAAAAAAAAAAAAGATAGACATCTTTCATTTAATGTCATTTGCCTCTAATAAAATGCAGGAATATTCCTGCATTTTATTAGAGGCGAATGACATTAAATGAAAGACATTTACATTAGTTTTAGAAAATCCAGTGATGTTGCTCAACTTTGCACATACTTGAAAAAACAAGGCTTATTAAAGCATATATTTGGAACTAAAAGGTATTTGAAGTTGATCACAGCATAATGAATCCTCAATTTCCACAGTACTAGAGATGATTATATACAAAGATCCAGTGAAACTTATTTTACTAACTTATCAGTTCTATGTTATTCCTAAATTTCCCTAAAAATATGGATTCATAAAAAGTAGTGTTCTATAATTCACAAATACAAGGAACTTTATTATGATTATGAACTCTGTATCACCCATATAATGGCTTTAGAAAACTGCTTTTCTTACTAACTTATTTAAGGTTTCACTACACAAGTCAGTATGCAGAACTCACTCTGTTGTAACTATGATCTGTAATAATACAAATATAGAACCTCTTTGACTTTAATCTAAAAAAGTCACCTTATAATAAAACAGTGTTAATACAATCAAGCATCAACCCTGACAAATAAGTAAACTACTTAAGGCTTTTAAAAATAGCTCATGCTCATGGTTCTTTCAAAATGATGTAGCTACCATCTTTACTAACAAAGGAATATTTTCATCACAGCAACTATTTCTGCGCCAAAAAGAAGCCACACTAAAAACAGAAGAAAATTCTTAGTGTGGAAAGGAAAAGGCTCATCTGTTGTGCAATGGCAGGCACTGGGCTCTGCGAGCGCTTTTCAGACAAGCTCAATCAGCCCATCTAGTGGCGCTATTGGGTTTATCCAGAAAGGTCACTCACTGTGCAATCTCTAGTGCTGTGAGGGCATTACTTAATCAGCCAAAGAAAGAACAATTTCTGTCTTTCCTCTTTCTTTCTTTCCCTCCCTCCCTCCCTTCCCTCCTTCCTTCCTTCCTTCCTTCCTTCCTTCCTTCCTTCCTTCCTTCCTTCCTTCCTTCCTTCCTTCCTTTTTCTTTCCCTTCTTCTTTCTTTCTTTCCTTCTTTTCTTTCTCTCTCTCTTTCCTCTCTCTCTCTCTCTCTTTGTTTCTCTCTCTCTCTCTCCTTCTTTCTTTTTTTTTTTTTATTTTGGACAGGATCTCCCTCTGTCACCCAGGGTGGAGTGCAGTGATGCAATCATGGTTCATTGCAGCCTTGACACCTAGGCTCAAGCAATTCTCACTTCTCAGCCACCCAAGTAGCTGGGACTATAGGTGTGCACCCCTGTGGTTGGCTAATTTTTAAATTTTTTTGTAGAGATGAGTCTCACTATGTTGCCCAGGCTGGTCTTCTGGCCTTAAGCTATCGGCCTCTCAAAGTGTTAGGATTATAGATGTGAGCCACCTTGCCCAGCCAGAGCAATCTTCAAGTCATGTACCGGTAGTTTATATAGCTTTTCTAAAATTTAAGAAAGAACTGAATGGACTATAGTTATTATATGATTAAAAAAATTTCAGTAGCTTTTGGAGTACAAGTGTTTTTTGGTTACAAGGATGAATTCTATAGTGGTGAATTCTGAGATTTTAGTGCACCTGTCATCAAAGCAGTATACACTGTACCCAATATATAATCTTTTGTTTCTTACCTCCTCCCAGACTCCCCTTTCCCAAGTCCTCAAAGTCCATTATATCTCTCTTGTCTCTGCATCCTCATAGCTTAGCTACCGCTTATAAAATGAAAACATATAATATTTAGTTTTCCATTCCTGAGTTACTTCAGTAACGGCCTCCAGTTCCATCCAAGTTGCTTCAAGAGACATTATTTTGTTCCTTTTTATGGCTGAGTAGTACTCCATGTATGTATATATGTATATATATGTATGTATATGTGTATATACATATATAACATTTTCTTTATCCACCCATTGGTCGATGGGTACCACAGGTTGGTTCCATATCTTTGCAGCTGTGGGTTGTGCTGCTATAAACATGCATGCTCATGTGTGTCTTTTTTATATAATGACTTCTTTTCCTTTGGAAAAGAAGGGATGGGATTACTAAATTGAATGGTAGATCTACTTTTAGCTCTTTAAGGAATCTCCATACTGTTTTCCATAGATGTTGTACTAATTTACATTTCCACCAGCAATGTAAAAGTGTTCCCTTTTCGCCACATCCATGCCAGATCTATCGTTTTTTGACTTTTTAGTTATGGCCATTCTTGCAGAAGTAACGTGGTATTTCACTGTGGTTTTAATGTGCATTTCCCCAATGATTAGTGATGTTGAGCATTTTTTCATATGTGTGTTGGCCATTTGTGTATTTTCTTTTGAGAATTGTCTATTTATATCCTTTGCCCACTTTTTGATGGGATTATTTGTTTTTTCCCTGCTGATTGGTTTGAGTTTCTTGTAGATTCTGGTTAGTAGTCCTTTGTCAGATGCATAGTTGGCAAATATTTTCTTGTGTAAACAGACAACACACACAAGTTATATTCTGTGTGTTGTCTGTTTACTCTGATGATTATCTCTTTTGCTGTGCAGAAGCTTTTTAGTTTAATTAAGTCCCACTTATTTATTTCGGGTTTTGTTGCATTTTGCTTTTGGGACCTTAGTCATGAATTCTTTGCCTAGTCCAATGTCCAGAAGAGTTTTCTAGTATTGTTATGGGTTCAGGTAGTAGATTTCAGTCTTTGATCCATCTTGAGTTGATTTTTGTGTAAGGTGAGAGAAAGGGATCCAGTTTTATTTTCTAGATGTGATTTGCCAGTTTCCCCAGTACCATTTATTGAATAGGGCATCCTTTTCCCAATTTATGTTTTTGTATGCTTTGTAAAAGATCAGTTGGCTATAAGTATTTGATTTTATTTCTGGGTTCTTTATTTTGTTCCATTGATCTAAGTGCCTATTTGTATACTAGTATCATGCTGTTTTGGTAACTATAGCCTTGTAGTATAATTTGAAGTCTGGTACTGTGATGGCTCCAGATTTGGTCTTTTTGCTTAGTATTGCTCTGGCTATTTGGGCTCTTTTTTTGGTTCCATATGAGTTTTAGAATTTTTTTTTCTAGTTATGTGAAAAATAATGTTGGTATTTTGATGGGAATTTCATTGAATCTGTAGATTCTTTGAGCAGTATGGTCATTTTCACAATATTCATTTTTCCTATCCATGAGCATGGGATATATTTCCATTTATTTGTGTCATCTCTAATTTATTTCAGCAGTGTTTTGTAGTTTTCCTTGTAGGGAGCTTCACCTTGGTTAAATTATATTCCTAGGTATTTTATTTTATTTTTGTAGCTGTTGTAAAAGGGATTGAGTTCTTGATTTGATTCTCAGCTTTGTCATTGTTGGTGGATAGCAGCGATACTGATTTGCATACATTGATTTTTCTAACCTGAGACTACTGAAATTATCAGACCTAAGAGTCTTTTCGATGAGTCTTTAGGATTTTCTAGGTAAAGGATCATGTCATTGGCAAACAGCTCTAGTCTGACTTCCTTTTTTCCAATTTGGACACCCTTTATTTTTCTCTAGTCCGATTGGTCTGGCTAAGAATTCCAGTACTGTGTCGAAAAGAAGTGCTGAAAGTGGGCATCCTTGTCTCATTCCAGTTCTTAGGGGGAATGCTTTCAACTTTTTCCCTTTCAATATGAGGTTGGCTGTGGGTTTGTCAGATATGGCTTTTATTACTTTGAGAGAAGTCCCTTCTCTTTCTAATTTACTGAAAGCTTTGTTTATCATAAAGGGATGCCGAATTTTATGAAATGCTTTTTCTGCATCTATGGAGATGATTAAATGATATTTGTCTTTAATTCTGTTTATGTGATGCATCACATTTATTGACTTGAATATGTTAAACCATTCCCACATCCTTGGGATGAAACCCACTTGATCATGATGTATTATCTTTTTGATGTGCTGTTGGATTTGGTTAGCTAGTATTTTGTTGAGGACTTTTGCTTCTATGTTCATCAGGGATATTGGTCTATAGCTTCCTTTTTTTGTTATGTACTTTTATGGTTTTGGTATTAGTGTGATACTGGCTTTATAGAATGATTTAGGGAGGATTCCCTCTTTCTCCATCTTTTGAAATAGCATCATTAGCATTGGTACCAATTCTTTGAATGTCTGTTTAAATTCAGCTGTGAGCCCAGTTAAGTCCTGGGCTTTTTCTGACTCAATCTCACTGCTTGTTATTGGTCTGTTCACGGTATCTACTTCTTGCTACAGCTATTATATGATTAATCCAAGGCACCAAAAAGCATTTTTGCATGATTTAGTGGACCATCCTTTTTCTTTGTATCCTAATGAGGATTTTTTTTGACCCTTCATCATTCTCTTAACTAACAAGGAATTTTAGCTCCTCCCCTATCATTTTGTAAAATAATGATGATAGCTTAAAACTTCCATCAAAACATTAAATTTTCAAAATTTAACCAACGAAAAGCTACAAAAATCTCAAAGTTTGAATTTTAAACTGAATATTTGAAGGTAATGTAGAAATTTTGGATAAGAATATCAATGCAGACATATAAAACTCAAACTCTCACAGCTAATGGCAATGTCTGTTAACACTTTAAAG